CGGATGGGTGGGTGGGCGAGTGGATGGGTGGGCGGGCGGATAGGCGGGTGGATGAACTGTGACCTCCAGCCAAGACACTCCTCTGAAGCCTCTTACCCCAGTAATGCCCCACTGGGATTTCTGCCTAAGTCCATGCGGGACATTTGCACAAAACTCTCATTTCTATGTCCCCAGGAAATCCCTTACTCCGTCAATCACCAGCCATGTGTCCAAGCCCAAAAATATGCCTCTGGAATCAATATCAAGTCTTCCATTTCTCCGGATTTCAGATATCTCTTAAACCCATCCCTTCCTCTCCCATCCCCAGCGGCCCCCGTCCTGCTGGCAAGACCGGCTGCTTTTCCTTGTCACATTGGAAAGCGCCGTTTGCACCTTAGCCCAGCATCAGCACCTTCCCGCCAGAGGCAGCCTCCCCCTTTATGCTCTGGCCAGGAGAACCTGACCACTGCCCATCCGGGAACACCCCACTCCCCGTCATGCCCTGTGAGCGCGGGTTCTTGTCTGGTGAGTCTGTTTTCATCCCCGAGAGGCAGCCTGACCCTTCAGACGGCAGCCCAAACTTCAGTCACCTGGGAAGACTTCCTACCTCCATGGAGGCCAAGACCTCCCTTCCCACACCAGCCCTTGTTCCCCGGCACTTTGTGCAAATGTCCGTTTGCTCAGCCGCCCTGCCTCGTGTCACTGTGGATTTATACCATTTATTCCTGGGTCTGTCTCTCGCCCCTTCACTGCTGCGGCCCTGGTGCCTGGTGAGGGCCTGGTACACAGTTTGTTACATGAATGATGAATGAATATGCAACTCGGAAACAGGCCAACCACTTTGTCTTTCCCCGCCGAGGTTTGGAACAGGAAAGCCAGAGCCCCACTCACGGGTTCCATCCCAGGTCGGCTGGGTTGATGTAGAGGATGCCGGCCCTGGAGACGGTGGCTGGGGTGGCCGTCCTCAGGTGGCTGATTTCAAACACCAGCCTCATGGTGCGGTTCAGTGGGATCCGCTCATTGCTGGCCAGGGTGAGGACCTAGGAGGGGGACAGCAGCCCGTGGGGTCCTGCGGCGACACCTGCCGTCCCAGTAGTGTTCCGGGGTGGGGGTCCTCAGAGCAAACCTCCAAACAAGGAGGAGAGGCTCAGGCCAGCCCTGCCACCCTTGGCCCGCAGCCCTAGTCCCTTGGCCCAGGGCTTCTCTGCCCTCCCTGACTCCAGCAGCCTCTAGACGCCCACACTGGGGAGGGCTGCAGCATGGAGTCCGGGCTGCTTTCTCAAACCGTCACCCCTCCCCATCCTGGAAAGTCTTGTGTTCCCTTCTGCATCCAACTGAGGAGCATTTTTAGAAAAATGGCTTCTAGACAATTCTAAATAACCATTTCTGCTCCCCAGGCCTTTACCCTGAACCCATCCTGCTGCTACAATGTAAGGTGAGGTGCATGCAGAACCACAGCACATGTGACCAAGTCCCGCGACAAGGCGCCCCTCACTCATAGCTCCCTGTGGAGCTCCAGACACGCTCCTGCCCCAAGCCCTGCGTGCAGGGCCTGAGTGCTGCATAGGCGCCTCCCTGTGAGCCCCCGTTGTCCCTGCCTTGGGTGACCTCGGGGGTTAGAGTCCAGGTCCCGCGAACCTTGTTGTCATCCATGACGGTGTTGAGAGACTCGATCCACATGGGGTCTATGTCCCCGTCAAGGATGATCCACTTGGGGCCGTCATGGGTGATGTTGGCCAGGTCTCGCATGATGGTGGAGAACAGGCCTGGGGGAGGCGGGTGGTGTAACCCTGGGCCCTTCGCTCTGGCCCCATTCCAGTCCCCACCGGTCCTGACCCTGGCCTCTCTCTCGGAGGTGGCCTGTCCCCTACTTCAGAGGGACAGCAGAGGCCCTCGGGCATGAGGTGCCCGGGCTCCCTGCCCTCCCTTCTCTGTGGCCTCCCTCCTACATGCCCTCTCCATGCCTGGGGCCCTGTCTGCCCTCCTCCGACCCTGTGCCCTCCCTGTTAGCCCCTCTTTGTGGCCCTGGCTGGTTCAGTTTTTCCAGGCTCAGCACCCCACGGGGCGCAGCACCTGTGCACCCAGCTCTGTCCATCTGTCCACTCATGCTCAGCAGAGGTCTGTGGAGCACGCGTCATGCATCAGGCATGGAATGGGGCGAGGTGGGGGCTGGGGGTACAGAGCTTGCCTTCTAGTAGGGGAAGTGAGTTGTACATGCAGAAGCCAGCGAAGGGGGACAGGGAAAGCGGGTCGGGGTAGGGCCACTTCTGATGGGTAGGGTGCGGGGGACAGGCTGGGCAGAGCCCTCACCTAGGCTCCTGGTCAGGACCACCCCGCTCCCGCTGACACCTCCTTAGCTCTCGCGGCTCCTTTCTACAGCCCACTCTCCAACATCCCGAGTTCCTTTCATAAAGTGCAAACCTGGGCATGCCACTTCCCAGGGAAGCTCCTCCCCAGAGCCCACCAACTGAGGCAAGGGCTCCCCAGGCAGCCTCCAGCCTGCACATCTGGGCTGCCATGCACTCCGCATGGGTCACACCCATCCTTGCTCTGGCCTCTCCCCTTGGCCTGCCCAGGGCAGGCCTGCAGTCCTCACTGTCCCAGCTCCTGTGGCCCCTTATCCCTTACCCCTCAGCCCAGGTGCCACATGCCCACTGCGCCCCATAAACTCTGTCACCATGGTGCCACTATTGCAGGCCACATGCCTGTGCACTCCACCCTAGCCTGGGGAGGCTGGCCTTGCACGTGGGAATGGCTCAGCACATGCTCACTGCACTGGACTGGGTGAGCCGCTGCAGCCCGTCCCGGGACCACCCTTGTTACCATCTTTCCATTCCCTGGTTGCTGGGTTGATGATGCCAAAGAGCTCGTCGCAGGTGACGGCCTTGGGGTCCAGGTCCACAGCGACTGGCTTCCTCTTCAGGTTCTGATAGGTCTTGTTGAGGGATTTGAGGACCTGGCGAAGGTGTGGGTCACTCACGTGTGACTCCGTGTTCCTGGCACATCCTGCCCCACTAACCCCAGGACCGTGGGTGGGCCTAGATGCCTTTTTCTTTTTTTTTCCTGAGATGGAGTTTCACTCGTCATCCAGGCTGGAGTGCAGTGGTGTGATCTCAGCTCACTGCAACCTCTGCCTCAGGGTTCAAGTGATTCTCCTGCCTCAGCCTCCCGAGTAGATGGGATTACAGGCGCCTGCCACCATGTCCAACTAATTTTTGTATTTTTAGTAGAGATGGGGTTTCGCCATGTTGGCCAGGCTGGTCTTGAACTCTTGACCTCAGGCGATCAGGCCGCCTCGGCCTCCCAAAGTGTTGTGATTACAGGCGTGAGCCGCCGCGCCCGGCCCTGGATGCCTTTTTTGAACCACGAGGCTGAACCCTTCTCTGGATCAGGTTTGCTTTGGGGGCACGTAGGTGAGTTTACACCCCCTAACCATGACCGAGGTGAAGGTGGCCTGGGTGACGGGAAGCTAACTGTCCCCTGTGTCTGTAGCCTGCAGAGAGCTGCTTGCCCTGGACTGTGCGAGGCTCTGAAAACACTCACATTACTTCCTTCCTCATGGTACAAGTAATACGCGCACACTGAAAAACCATCTAGGAAAACTCCCCATAATCCTCCATTCAGGGAAAATGAGCTTTAAAGACGCAGTTGAGGACGTCTCCTGTATGTGTATGTCCGAGTTCCTTTTTAGGAAACTGGGTTCATGCAGCCTCTGCCTTTTAAAACATTTCTTGGGGTGAGCTTTCCCGTGTGGCTGGCGTTGGGAGTGCTCTTAAACAACAGTAGAAGAGCTCAGCCTGTGGGCCTCTGGCTGGACACCTGGGCCTGTGGCTGGACACTTGGCTGGCATGGAATTTTCCACGTCACAGACATCGGTCACATCCGCCACCACCCTCCACATGTCACCACACTCCAGGCCATGGCAGGGGACAGGAGGGCGATGGGTCCGGCTGGCCACAGGGACAGGGAGACAAGTGACTGACGTCAAGGAGAGAAGAGCAGGAAGACAAGGAGGAACAGGGAGGGAGGCCTCACCCAGGGATCAGGGACCAGGGGCTGTGGCCACTCCTCCCCTCCTCCTCGGCCTCCAGCTTCCTCCCTGGCCCATGACTCAGGCCGGAAGGCTCCCGGGATGTACTGGGTTGGGGTCTCCGGGGTGGCGGGGAGTGATGGAGGGCTGACCCTTCGCCCCAGCCCTCCCCCACCATGCCAGATCCCTGCAGGGTCCCTGCAGGGGTGACGCACCTGAGATTTGCCGCTGCCCGCGTTCCCGATGACGAACACCGAATGGCGGACCTGCAGCAGCTCCTCCAGCTGCACCACCTTCAGCACGAAGCTGTCCTCCGCCTGCAGCTTGAGCTCCACGATGCTCTGCTTGATGATCTGGGGAGACACGGATGAGGCTGGGTGAGGAACTGAAGCAGCCTTTCTTCTCACTGGGAGGCTGGGGGCTTCTTGCCCTCTGGCAGGTGGCCTTGCTCTCCAACGCACACGCCTTTGCAAGTTCTGCTGTCCATGTTGAGAGCTCACATAGCTCCACTGCGACCTTGTGCAGGGGATCGGTTTGCCTGAAGTCCCCTAACCCCCGTTGAGAGACTGACCTCCCCCAGCACGGAGAGAGTGGGGCTGGCCAGGGCCACAGAGACAGCTGTGGCTCAGAGGTCTCTCTGTAGCGCCGAGAAACGTGTGTGTGACATGGGTCCCCACCTGTCCAACATCAGCGGGAAGGAAGCCCCAGCCAGGCAGGCTTCCCCGGACAGACCTGAGGTCTGGGAGTACCAACCTTTTCAAAATTCAGGTCTCGTTTCCGAGGCACGTCCAGAGCCGGGAAGAGGTCCCCGATCAGTCCCATGAACACGGGCAGGTCGTCGGTCACGATCTTGGGGATGTTGAAGTCCCTCAGTGCCCGCATGAGCACCTGGTCCTCCGCCCGGCTGGGGTCGCCCCTCTTCAGGGAGCCGGCCACCACCAGCACAGACTTGATGGCTCTCAGGCCCCAGTCGTAATGATCCTGCGGGCAGTGGGCACAGGGGGGCAGACGTGGGCTCACCTTCCCACGGCCAGCAGGCAGGTCCGGAAGCCAACCCTGGCTGCTGCCTGCACCTCAGCCTCCCCCCCGCACCCGTCACGAGCTCCAGGACACACACACCTGCTTCGAGAGCAGCTCCTTGCACAAGGTGTACAGGGTGATGAACTTCCTGGCCAGAAGGCGGGCTTCCAGAAAGCCCTCGGCCACCAGCATAATCTCGCATATCAGTTCGAAGTCGGGGACGACCATGGCACAGGGCCTGGGGAGGTCAGCGGCGTCTGTGGGCTTCTGCCCGCTCCCTCCCCCACCTACACTCCCACCTGTCCCTCTTCACCTAGGAGAGCACACCGCGCCTGCCGGGTGGACCACAGCAGTGTTGAACCTTTGGGCCCTTGGGCCTCCCAGCCCGCCCGCTCCCTGCTTCCCTCCTCCTTCCACATCCTCTGCTGGGTGCACCTTCAGGCCTCTCCTCTGAGAGCCACCCCAGTCCCTGAACCCTGCCTTCCTTCCCTGTGTCCCAGGTGGGGTCCTCCTACCCGGGGGGAAGACAGAGCGCTTTCTAGGAGGCCCTCGCCTGCCTCATCTTGGGAGTTTTTTGTTTGTTTGTTTTTGAGACAGTTTCACTCTTGTTGCCCAGGCTGGAGTGCAATGGCACCATCCCAGCTCACTGCAACCTCTGCCTCCTGGCGTTCAAGCGATTCTCCCGCCTCGCTCAGCCTCCGAGCTAGCGTCGATTACAGGCATGCACACCATACAGGTATTTTGTATTTTTAGTAGGGACGGGGTTTCACCATCTTGACCTGCTGGTCTCAACTCCTGACCTCAGGTGATCCACCCTCCTCGCCACCCAAAGTGCTGAGATTACAGGAGTGAGGTTACTGCGCCCGGCTATCTTGGAGCTTTTGATGCTTTTCCCTCCCCAGCTTGCCCTCTGCCCTCTTCCCTGCCCACACCCTGCTGCACTGGCGCGGGACGCTGCTGTGGCTGCCCTGGCTTACCACGGTGCCACTTGCACCAGGACCATGTACCTAGATAAGGCTTTTACAGTCTCAGCGCAGCTCTGTGCGTCCGGCGTACCCAGGGTTCATGGTGATGAAGATACCCGACAGTGGGAATAGGCCTAATGATCTCTCCCAGGAAATTGAATGTTTTTTTTCTTGGCCGAATCTGCAATCCTGGACACATTTACCGACACATTTGGAGACACCAGACATGTTAGCATCCGCGAAATGGTCACCTCCCACAGGCAGGAGGGCCGTTCATGTATGTACCCAGCCACGCAGGCTGCTGAATTTGCAGGGGCCTCCTAGTTTCTCTTCTTTTTTTTTTTTTTTTTTTTTGAGACGGAGTCTCGCTTCTGCCACCCAGGCCTGGAGTGCAGTGCGCTGATCGTCAGCTCATCCTGCAAGCTCCACCTTCCTGGGTTCACCCCATTCCTCCTCTGCCTGCAGGCGCACTATACAAACACTGAACAAATAGCCAGTCACGAGTAGCTGGGACTACAAGGCACACACAACAACACAAACATCGCCGCCTAGTTCTTGGTATTTTTTAGTAGAGACGGTTTTCACCGTGTAGCCCAGGAATGGTCTCGATCCTCCTGACCTCATGCATCGCTGCCGTCAAAGTGCTGGGATACAGGCTTGAGCCAGGCCCCAGCACTAGTCTTCTTTTTAAAATTTAAGCCTTTCTTATTTTTCCGAGAAAGTTGTATTGACTCACATGTCGCTGCAGGAAATCACTAGACCCCGCCGCCGCCAGGCACAGTGGTCACACGCCTGAATCCCAGCACTTTTGGAGCTGAGGCCTCGGCGGAATGATTCCTCGCGCGCAGGCCCTGTCAACATATCGCAAGCCGTCTCAACAAAACACATACAAAAGCACGAGGATTGGGGAAGAACAAACATACACAAGGCAATTCTGCATACTCTTTGCCCCATGTTCCCTGATGGGAGCATCTTACCTAATGACAGTGCCAGTCACAGCGGGGTGGGGGTGGGGGGTGCAACACTGAGGCCAGCATTGCTGTCACCACGGGGACCCGTATGTCCCCTCTTATAGCCATACCCACTTTCCTCTTGCCCGCTTCCCTCCCTTTGACCCCTGGCAACTGTGTCCTTCGTTTCTGTGATTTGGCCATTTCATGGATGTTATATAAGTGGAATTGTATCGTACACCATCTTCCCAGACGGACTTTTATCACTCAGCAGAATTCTCCGGAGATGCACCCAGGCTGTTGCAGGAACCGGTAAGTATTTCAAGACCTCGTTCCTGCTGAGCGGGGTTCCGCTCCCAGCCCTTTTCTGTCCTGTTAGGACTTTGGCAATGATCTGTTAGAGGACTGGTTACCGGCCACCTCCGTATCAGACAGTCTTGAAGGCCACCTGTCAGCTACGAGGTTAAACCTAGAGCTTCAGGGGCTGTTGCTTGAGGTCTCTGGAAACCTGCAGAAGGCAGCTGTGGCTCTCCAAGTCGCCACTTGAGGGAGCCCAATACTCGCGGTAAGGCTGCTCCCAGCACCTGCCTTTCCCTGTCTTCCCCACAAGAGCCAAGTCCTGGTGCCCTGGTGATCCCAGACACCCCCATGCCTAGTCTGCTGAGCGTGCAGCTTGCCCCCTGGCAGGGCTGGGGCCCTTCGGAATGGCACTGCTTCCGCCTAGGCCAAGCCTCTCCTGCGGTCTCCATCGGAGCCCATGAACATTCAGTGCCCACAGTAGGGGCTACATCAATATTCTGGGGTTTGTTCATGGACCTCAGAGGTGCTCAGCAACTGTGCTCGTGCGCTGCGGGCGAGGGAGAGGGTCCCCATGGCAACAGCCAGCACTGCCCATAGGTTGGGGTCCCCATTCTCTTGGCCACGTGGCCTCTGGCCCTGGGGCTGGGGAATGACTGGGGCAGAGGGAGCATAAGGAGAGGAGGAAGCAGCCACCCCCGGCCACCTCTAATCCCACAGGCAGACCTGTGTCACCAACGCCGTTTTACAGATTAGAAGGTGGAGGCGCAGGGAGTCCACATCACTGCCAAGCCGAGAGTCAGGGGTTAAGTTGGTGTATAAAGCAGGCTCTTGGCCGGGCACGATGGCTCACACCTGTAATCCCAGCAGTTTGGGAGGCTGAGGTGGGCGGATCACCTGAGGTCGGGAGTTCAAGACCAGCCTGACCAACATAGAGAAACCCCATCTCTACTAAAAATACAAAATTAGCCGGGCTGGTGGTGCATGCCTGTAATCCCAGCTACTGAGAAGGCGGAGGCAGAGGTTCGGTGAGCCAAGATCGCACAATTGCACTCCAGCCTGGGTAATAAGAGTAAAACTCCGTCTCAAAAAAAACCAACCAACCAACCAAACATAAACAAACAAACAAATAAATAAAGTGGGCTTTCCACCCGGCTTGCGGGGCTTGAGCAGCCCAGGCCAGGCGGCATTCGCACGTCCACGCCCCACACGCTCCTGGTCTATCTTGGGGTGGGAGGACCTTGACACTTTCAACGCCCTGACTTGCATTTTCTTTTGGAAGAGCACAATTGTTCCAGGCCGCTAGGTCAGCCTCCGCTTACCTTAGCCCAGTGCTTGTCAACCCCGGCAGGCGTCAGGATCACCTAAGGCATTTGTTTAAGATGCAGAAATGCTAATCCTAACAAGTGGGGCCCGTGCTGGAGATTTTAACAAGCATGGCCCAGGCCACTCCCCACTCCCAGGTCCCTGCGCCCATGTCGCCGCAGCCACCCCGCTGCACGCTCCGTGCCCCGGCATGGTTGTTCCCAAAATACACGGGCACATTTCCTCCCTCCTCCTCTTCCTCCTCTCCCTCCTTTCTTTCCTGCCATTCCCTTTCAGCACCTCCTATGCCCAGCTCCGCTGATAGTCACAAAGCACTTTGTCCTTCTTTCCTAAGCAAAATTAATTATTCTCCCACCTGTATTTCCACCTGGAATCCCTAACGAGGGGGCTCAGAGAAGCACATTTAAGTTCTAAGCCTCGCACATTTTCTCAGCCCTTTTCTTTCTTGCATGGAGAGGAGAGGGAGCATGCTACCATACATGTAACCTGTAATCTGATTCTGTTTTCAATCTGTATGCCTAACCAGGCTGCGGGACCCTGCAGGGCAGGGGCTCACTGGCACCACACCACCCTTCAGTGCTTGGAACATTGCAGAGAGGCAAGGAGGGTCTATCTGGCGTGTGAGGTCATAGGAAAGCTGACGAGCCAGTTACCCGATGTGACCCCGAGGCCGCAGGCAGGGGACTTTACCTGCACAGCAATCACAGACAAGACTTCCACCGAGATGCGATTAAACTCATCAAAGCAGCCCCAGGCTCCCGTCTGGGCCAGGCCCTTGTAGATATTTCCACAGGACTGGAAAGGGCGAGAGGGAGAAATGAAGAGCTGGGAGGGTGGCAGGGAGGGCAGGCGCTACAGAGGCCTCCCCCTGCCTCTTCAGCTGTGTTCTCTGCCCACAGCTCGCTCAGGCCCCGGTGCACTGGGGCCTTCCGCAGGCCAGCAGGCAGGTCAGCTTACTGCCCAGGGTAACACCGTGGAGGGCTGGGTACCAGGAAGAGCCCATCCTTTCACCCTTGACCCCCAGAGCTCCCAGACCCCAGGATGGAGGCTTCCTGGAGTCCCTAACAAGGGGGCTCAGAGAAGCACATTTTGAGTTCTAAGGGCGTGTTTCCTCAGCCCTTTTCTTTCCTGCACGGAGAGGAGAGGGAGTCCTCTGAGGTGCAATGGGGGCACGGCGAGCAGACCAGAGGCTTTTCCTCAAGGCATCTGTGTCCCTCTAGGACCCACCTGGGCATCAAGAGGGCTCTTCCCATCTACACCTGGGATTCCAGGTGGATGATAAGCCCCTTCTAGGGAGATCCAACGTCAGATTTCACTTTTCTAAAATCCAGGAGGTGGATGTGGACTGCATGGCCTTGACAGTGAACAGCGGCTGCTGGCCCCATCCTCAACCTCCGGAGGGGTCTCCCAGATTGTGGAGCTCGGATCCAAGCCGGGGAGAGGAGACCCACTGCAGGCCTAGGGTCCAAAACTCAGGGATCCATCTCCCTTACCTCCTGCTCTTGCAAAAGGCTGCTGCAGCCTGGAGCTCCAAGGTATCCCCTCCCCTGCCTGGCCTTCTGTGAACTGATGATGTCCTGTGCAGGCTCTGATGACTGATGGGACCGGGACCGTCCCCTGCTCTCCTCCCAAACCCACCTGGACACTGCTTGTACCCCACCCCATGCTGAACCATGAGGGAGGTGCTCACCCCTGTGCAGAGTCCCCAGTTCCGGGGCAATCTTACAACTGAAGCTGAGAGAGGGTCACCTCCAGGGCGGGGCCTGGGGCAGGACATTTGGGGCTGCGTCTGTCCACCTGGGAGTCTCTCCAGAGAGACCACCTGAGGGGGATGCCACCAGCAAGTGGGGGCCCTGGCGCCTCCTCCCCAGTGTCATTCAGAGGTATCCAGAGACCTGGAGCTCACTGCAGGGCCTCGGAGGTCAGGGTGCTGGGATATGCTTCTACGTGGGAACTCTGGGTCCCTCCTCCGGACTCCGGCCGCGTACCTTGTAGTCCATCTGCTCGGAGCAGTTGAAGACGTAGACCATGGTGCCCAGGGCTCTGCCCAGGTCCTTGGTTGTCTCAGTCTTGCCGGTCCCAGCGGGGCCGGCGGGGGCTCCGCCCATAATGAGATGGAGGGACTGGGTCAGGGTGATGTAGCACCTGCAAATGACTGCAGGTAAGCATGTGTGCCAGTGACCCCACGGCCTCCCTGCTTTTATTTTTATTTTTTTGAGACAGAATCTCACTCTGTCACCTAGACTGGAGTGCAGTGGTACAATCTTGGCTCACAGCAACGTCTGCCTCCTGGGTTCAAATGATTCTCGTGCCTCAGCCTCCCAAGTAGCTGGGACTACAGGCGCCCACCACCATGCCCAGCTAATTTTTGTATTTTCAGTAGAGACGGGGTTTCACCATGTTGACCAGGCTGGTCTCGAACTCCTGACCTCAGGTGATCCACCCGCCTCGGCCTCCCAAAGTGCTGGGATTACAGGCGTGAGCCACTGCGCCCAGCCACCACTTTCTCTTTCATTGCAGTTATTACACTTGCTCGGCCCCAGGAGACACATTGGAAGAGGACAGAAAACCTTCAGCTGTGACGAAGGAACCACCACCGTGGGGCGGAGGCAGCCCAGGTGCCTTTCCCACCTGCAGCATTCGGGGAGGTGGGCACTGCTACGAAGACCAGAGTCTGCTCGTGAGGGTCCATAAAACATGACCCCAACTCAGCAGGCCCACAGAGGGGTGGAAGAACTCTCCCAAGGTCACACAGCCAGTGCTGGAACAAGGACATGGTGGGAGAACTGAATGTGAACACACGTCCATCTGACGTAAATGCCAGGTCCCTCCAGCCTCCACAGCTGACATCCAAGTGGGACAGTTCCAAGAATCTTGGGAAAGGGACCCAAGGGCACAATGTGATTGACTCAGGGACAGGCCTCACCTGTCGGTGAGCGGGGTGATGACCAGCCGCGGCGTGTTGCCCAGATACTCGTAGGAATACTGGATTTGGGCATCGCAGATGTTGGCAAAGCAGTGTCGCTTCTCTTCATCCCAGCGATGCCGGAGCTGGGCCTGCCAGGTGAAGGCCTGAGAACTCTCCACCTGCAGGATGAGCCGGAGCTCTTGTTGTCAAGGGGAATGCAAGAGCTAGGGCTGGCTGAGGAAGGCCAGCATGCCTCCAAGACTGGCCCCCCCCGCCGTCTTTCCCCCTCCAGCGCCCACGTCCAACTGTATGGCCGCCCTCAGTGGAATCTCGCTACGGAATGGCACTTCCAATGGGCGGGCACCGCTCCTCTGACCACTATGTGTGGCTCACCAGGGGTGAGTCCGGGCAAGGGGGGTAGGAGGCAGTCGCAGCCAGCAACAGAGCCAGTGCCCCAGCAAGAGGAAGTCGCAGGGTCTGGAGTCCCTGAATGCACTGCCCTGAACCCAGTGTCCCCTTGCCCTTCCCCAGGTCCCTGGGACGGGGCATTCGTGCCTTGGCCACGATCATTTTGGCCACCACGTCCCGCGCGTGCACATCGATGGTGCAGATGGTCATGATCTTCATCCTGTCGCCAGCGTTGAGGTTCCCAATGAGCAGCGTGATGAGTGCATTCAGCTGGCTAATCTGCGGGGGACAGGCGCTTTCACTGAGATGCCACGGATGCCCATGTGCACTGGGGGGTCTTGTGGCTGGGTGCCCGCAGCTGCATAGGGAACACTGCCATGGTCTTGTTTACAGTAAGGAAAAACAGGAGCGCCCTCGGTAGGCCCCAGCCAGGCACTGGTTTCACTGTGATGCGGCCCTGATGGGACACCTTGGAGCCGCTAGCACGGACGTAGTAGAAGGAAATTCATGGCCATGAAAGAGAGTGGATAAGAAGCAAAAACAGCTGACTTTAACATCATCCAGCGAGTCTGTATACTTTTTCATATAAATCAATTACACACACACAGTGTAGCAGGTTGCATAAGGGAACGTTGACAGTATCATGCTTGAATTGTGGAATTACAGGTAAATTCTCCTTCTTTTAAAGATGATCTTTAGTTTCTGTATTTCTAATCAAGGACTTTTTTTTTTTTTTTTTAAAGACTCGCAGTCGCATTTGATGATTTTGAGGTGAGAAATCAAAGTACGTATTTCTGAAGGTGTCTGTTACCCGTGGGGAGAGGTGCCTAGGGCTGCAGTGCGTGGCTGTTATTTGGCCTGTGGAAATGGCGGTTTCATGGGGCTCAGCCTCTAACAAGAAGGTGCTGCTGGTACTCACCTGGCAGGTTTCAGACGGGCACATGGGGCCATGCACCTGCTTTTTAAACAAGTTTTAAAAACATAACTAAACGCTAGTAACGCACCTGTTTTTTGTTATAATCTTTGATAGCGTTTTCATAGCCTTCCTCCAGCCTGGCAAATGCCAGGCCCACCTCGGTCGTCCACCAGATCTGGGTGCAAGTCAGAGCCACCTGAAAGTAGATGCCCCCCATTGCCCACGCAGTGAGCGATCGCTAGCACCTGCTAACACAGAAGTTCCTGCTGAAAGCTTAGACGGTTTTCCAGGGGACCACAGTTCACAGGGGAGCCCATGAACGCAGAGAAACTTGCCCCTTATCCCAGCCACGAGGCACGGCTGAGCCCCCGCCCGCCTCAGACCTGGGCCGGGTTATTTCAGCCACGAGGCACTACCGAGTCCCTGCCCGCCTCAGACCTGGGCCGAGTAGTCCAGGATCCACTGCTCCCTCGGCTTCTCTTCGTAGGTCACCACGGCCTCTGGGATTTCGTGCCGGAGGGTGGAGCACATTCGGTCCAGCACTCGATTCAGCCACACTTCCACCTGGGGACAGGAGCCACGGTGACCAAATACAGCCATATGTGCCTGCCTCTAGTTTCAGTAATTTGCTTTGTTGTAAAGAAAAACGTTTGTCAGCCAGGCGTGGTGGCTCACGCCTGTAATCCCAGCACTTTGGGAGGCTGAGGCGGGCGGATCACGAGGTCAGGAGATCGAGACCATCCTGGCTAACGGTGAAACCCCGTCTCTACTAAAAATGCAAAAAATTAGCTGGGCGTGGTGGCGGGTGCCTGTAGTCCCAGCTACTTTGGAGGCTGAGGCAGGAGAATGGCGTGAACCCGGGAGGCGGAGCTTGCAGTGAGCCGAGATCGCACCACTGCACTCCAGCCTGGGCGACTGAGCGAGAGACTCCGTCTCAAAAAAAAAAAAAAAAAAAAAGAAAAACGTTTGTCATCATCTTCATCCCAGGGGCAGATGTGTCAAGGATTTTACAGAGCCGTAACAGTGATACACCTTTTTTTTTTTTTTAAGACGGAGTCTTGCTCTGTCACCCAGGCTGGAGTGCAGTGGCACGATCTTGGCTCATTGCAAGCTCCACCTCCCAGGTTCACACCATTCTCCTGCCTCAGCCTCCTGAGTAGCTGGGATTACAGGCACCTGCCACCACGCCCGGATGATTTTTTTTGGTATTTTTTAGTAGAGATGGGGTTTCACTGTGTTAGCCAGGATAGTCTCGATCTCCTGACCTCATGATCCACCCACCTTGGCCTCCCAAAGTGCTGGGATTACAGGCTTGAGCCACTGCGCCCGGCCACACCTTTTGTTTTTAAATTGAGATAGGGTCTCGCTCTGCTGCCCCGGGCTGCTGTGCAGTGGTGCAGTCCCGGCTCACTGTAGCCTCCACTTGTGGGCTCAAGTGATGCCTCCACCTCAGCCTCTCAAGCAGCTGGGACTACAGGTGTGCACCACCACACCTGGCTAGTCAAAGACTCACTTTAAAAATGTGGCTGGGGGCTGGGCGCAGTGGCTCACGTCTGTAATCCCAGCACTTTGGGAGTCTGAGGAAGGTGGATCACTTGAGGTCAGGAGCTTGAGACCAGCCTGGCCAACATGGTGAAACCTCGTCTCTACTAAAAATACAAAAATTAGCCGGGTATGATGGCAGGCGCCTGTAATCCTAGCTACTCTGGAGGCTTAGACAGGAGAATCACTTGAACCTGAGAAGTGGAGGTTGCAGTGAGCCAAGATTGTGCCACTGCACTCCAGCCTGGGTGATAAGAGTGAAACTCTGTCTCAAAAACAAACAAACAAACAAACAAATAAACAAAAAACATACCCACAAGTAACTGCTACTGGGAGAAAAAAACCCTCAAGAGAATATGAAGGTAGATTCTTTTTTTGGAGATGAATTTTTTAGAGACTAAGTCTCGCTCTATTACCCAGACTGGAGTGTAGTGGCGTGATCTCGGCTCACTGCAACCTCTGTCTCCCAGATTCAAATGATTCTTATGCCTCAGCTTCCCGAGTACCTGGGACTACAGGTGTGTGACACCACACCTGGTTAATTTTTGTATTTTTAGTAGAGACCGTTTCGCCATGTTGGCCAGGCTTGTCTTGAACTCCTGACCTCAGATGATTTGCCCACCTCGACCTCCCAAAGTGCTGGGATTACAGGCGTGAGCCACCGTGCCCGGCCAGATTTTTCCTGTTAGCTGTAAGCACGGTGCAGGCGGGCCTCACTGTGGTCTGCAGTTCTGTTTGTAAGGGGTAAGCCCAGGAAGCGAATCTGGACAGACGCTGTCACTGCCCCACCCACCCCATCCATGTAGAGCAGGCCACGTGTGTGCCGTGTTCAGCTCTTTGAACCTCAGGTTTTCTCAAGTCGAGATTTTTTTTTTTTTTTCACCGCTGATTTACCTCTGCCTTGTATTTTTCCTCAGGCTGATTGTTAAAATGACTTTCTATTGCGTTGATCAACATAACTGGCGAATGAGCGCGGGGGGAGGGGGCAGGCCGCGAAGTTTTTCTGACGGCAAGAAGGAGCCCAACCCTGAGCCGGGGGCACGGTTGGTGGCTGGGGCTGGCTGTCTGCAGGGAAGGAGAGGCTGAAGGGGCCAGCTCTGGCGGTGGGCAGGGCGAG